CTCTGAAGTTCTGATTCGATCATCAAATATGGGTGAAACCTGCTATTTTTAAATATATTTAGTGATGAATGAAAGATCTTCATGGGGAAATCAACCATAGAACCATACTAAGTCAAACTGATAGTAAAATCAGTTTTATTATTATTATTGAGGTTGATGACCAAATCACAAATTTAGTTATGACTTACTGTTTTTCCTCTTTACACATGTGTTATTCAGGGAATGCCACTGAGCAGATCTGAGACATATTTAAGGATAGTTTTTGACTTTTAAAGAGCTTCACTGATCTACAGAAAATATCTCAAACTGGCAGGACTGGTCGATTTAACAACTGATTTATAGTCTGTAGAGTATTAAAATGATCGGTGAAGTATCATATGTACAGTGGTTTGCAAAAGTATTCATACCCCTTGAACTTTTCCATATTTTGTCACATTACAACCACAAACATAAATATATTTCACTGGAATTTAATGTGAAAGACCAACACAAAGTGGTATACAATTGTGAAGTGGAAGCAAAATTTTACATGAATCAAAACATTTTTTACAAATAAAAAACTGAAAAGTGCGATGTGCAAAAKTATTCAGCTCCCCTGAGTCAATACTTTGTGGAGCCACCTTTTGCTGCAATTACAGCTGCAAGTCTTTTAGGGTATGTCTCCACCAGCTTTGCACATCTAGTGACTGCAATTCTTGCCCATTCCTCCTTGCAAAACAGCTCAAGCTCAGTCAGATTGGATGGAGAGCGTTTGTGAACAGCAGTTTTGAGATCTTGCCACAAATTCTCAATTGGGTTTAGGTCTGGACTTTGACTGGGCCATTCTAACACATGAATATTCTTTTTTTTAAACCACTCCATTGTAGCTTTGGCTTTATGTTTAGGGTCGTTGTCCTGCTGGAAGGTGAACCTCCGCCCCAGTCTCAAATCTTTTGCTGACTCCAACAGGTTTTCTTCCAAGATTGCCCTGTATTTGGCTCCATCCATCTTCCCATCAACTTTGACCAACTTCCCGGTCCCTGCTGAAGAGAAGCACCCCCAGAGCAYGATGCTGCCACCACCATATTTGACAGTGGGGATGGTGTTTTCAGAGTGATGTGCAGTGTTCTTTCTCCGCCACACATAGCGTTTTGCATTGTGGCCAAAAAGTTCAATTTTGGTCTCGTCTGACCAAAGCACCTTCTTCCACATGTTTGCTGTGTCCTCAACATGGCTTCTGGCAAACTGCAAACGGGACTTCTTATGGTTTTCTTTTAACAATGGCTTTCTCCTTGCCACTCTTCCATAAAGACCACGTTTGTGTAGTGCACGACTAATTGTTGTCCTGTGGACAGTTTCCCCCACCTGAGCTGTGGCTCTCTGCRTTTCATCCAGAGTCACCATGGGCCTCTTGGCTGCCTCTCTGATCAGTGATCTCCTTGTTCGGCCTGTAAGTTTAGGTGGACGGCCTTGTCTTGGCAGGTTTACTGTGGTGCCATACTCTTTCCATTTCCGGATGATGGATTGAACAGTGCTCCGTGAGATGTTCAAAGCTTGGGAAATCTTTTTATAACCTAAGCCTGCTTTAAACTTCTCCAAAACCATATTCCTAACCTGTCTGGTGTGTTCTTTGGACTTCATGATGCTGTTTGCTCCCCAATATTCTCTTAACCAACATCTGAGGCCGTCACGGAGCAGCTGTATTTGTACTGAGATTAGATTACACACAGGTGGACCCTTTTGAGTCATTAGCAGTCATCAGGCAACTTCTGAATGCAATTGGTTGCACTCAGGGAAAAGGGGGCTGAATAATTTTGCACGTCACACTTTTCAGTTTTTTATTTGTAAAAAATGTTTTGATTCATGTAAAATTTTGCTTCCACTTCACAATTGTATACCACTTTGTGTTGGTCTTTCACATTAAATTCCAGTGAAATATATTTATGTTTGTGGTTGTAATGTGACAAAATATGGAAAAGTTCAAGGGGTATGAATACTTTTGCAAACCACTGTATATATGTTGTGCACCCTGCCTGCACTGTTCTGTTATTTCTGTTACCCAATCCTTGTTGTTGTTTTCTTTGCTGTTTAGTGATCATTTGCTGTTCGACATTTTGACTTTACACTGTATATATTACCCTAAATTTTTGTTTATTTACTCTTTGTGCATCTACTGCAAGCTGTGAATTTTGTATTCTGGATTGCCTTTATTTTTATTTTTATTTTTATTCTTTATAGCGAGTCGAAGGGTTTCTTCTCATCCTGAGAGTTTCATTGCTGACTCTTGTTAACCTGCAAATGACAATAAATTGTTAGAAGCCTGGTTTTGGGTTGTGTTTTTGTTGGGTTCAGTTTGTTTGTGCAGATAGTCTGGAGCTGCTGTCACTGGAGGGCGGAACCACTGATTATCACTCACACCTGCAGATCCTCTCCTGCAATCATCCAGGGGATAAAAAGAGTTGGCTGTCAGTTCTCCAGTGCCTGAGTGTTTGCCTGCAATGGTATGTCATGCTCCCACAGTGTGTTCTCTGTGCTAATTTCTGAGAAGTCCCCCCACCCCACCCCTGTGGAACTTTAATATTAACTCCTGTGATCTCCTTCCAAGGCTTCCTCCACCACSTCCTGGTTCATCTACCAGAGTTTCCCTGAGCCTCCTCGAGAACCCAAGATCTCCTGGAGCAGTTCTGAGACTGACAGCTTCAAGGTCTTTGTCCCCGGTCCGCACGGTAATCTGTCCGCCCTCCATCGCTCCAACTATCTGGCTGCACTGCACTTGTCTTTCACTCAACCACTCCCCACTGGTGGACGCTTCCTCACAACCCAAGTAAGAAGTTTTTTTGGTTCCTCCTCATTTCCTCAGTATTTTTGTTGTTGCTCATCAGATTCTCCTCTGCCTTCAGTGATTCCCTTCCCCCGCATATCCAGCCCCAGAAGGAGATTCTCATTTATTTGCTTTTATTTGTAAATAAACCTTTTGAACTTTCCTTGTCTCCTGAGAGTGTTCTGCATGTGGGTCAAACATCTTTCCAAAAACATGACATAAATGAATCCTGAGCAAGATCAGCTGTTTTATATTCAACACCGAACTCAGTTTGTTTTCTGTGCAAAATTTGGGCTTTATCTTAAGACTATCAGGCAGAACCAYGCTGTACGATGCTGTTGCTGCTCTAATTATTAATCTGTTGTACTCTTTTTCATGAGACAATTAGGATACCATTACAATAAAACAAAATGTAGAAATCCCAAATTTTTGTTTTTTCCATTTTATAAAAAACAATGAATTGCACTCGGAGCAAGGTCACGCCTCATAACAGCTGTCTGTTTACACACAGCTCACCTGTTTCAGTTTGTCACATTATTCTGAATCCACCCTCACCTCAAACCTTCTTTCATCCTCTTCTTTCCTCTTCCCTACCTTTTTTGATCTCCTGTTTTCTGTTTTTTTTCCTCTCCTGAACATATCAAGGTGTGATTCCCTTGCGATGGGATTGGTTCTGATGGTACGTGATGTACGTACGAGACAGGCTGTTGACTTCCACATCAATCTCAAATATAAATATMCATTATTCTTTAGGCGCTATCTGAGGAGGCTTGACCCAGCTTGGGAGAGAGAAAACTCTGAATATCTGGTAGTAATTCTCCCCAAAAGAGCTTATCCAGACCCACAGAATCCACTCTTCCATATTCTCTAAAGCATCCTCATCAACAACCCTTTCACATTACTGTGATGTGGTTCATGTGAGTGATATAGAAATCTCTAAAAAGAAGTGTTGATATAGAAAGCACTCCCCCAAGTGGTGTAAACATGTTACCACAAATGACTCTGAATCCTTTAAACCAGTTTGGTCTTACTGCCAAATTTTAACATTTTACACATACATTTACAAATGCTAATGTTATTAACTTTTTTTCTACAAGCAAACATGAATATTACAAAAGTGCAATCTTTTATTCAAAACTTCATAGATCAGATGTTTCTGTCTCATATTTGACATTATTTCTTGCCTCTTTAACTGCCAACTTTCAGGATACATAGAATATAGCAAAATCTATTGCAGTACTACATAAGGTAAAGGAGTTATTTAATGATATATA